TTATTTAGTCAGTGTAAAGCTTATAGAGTCTACAAACAATCTGACTGCCTATTTCATTTCTTGAGACCCTAAAATGCCAAGGCAACAAAATACCCCCAAAATATTCCTTTTTTGGGAAGCAGACAGTCCAAGGTGTTTAATGAGAGGCATGGTGAGTTTTTGAAGTAGTATTTTTTTGTCTCCGTTTTTTAGAAAATTAAGAAACTAAATAAAATGTGTTTTTTTTTCCCACAATGTTGTCTCGATGTTATGTCTCACACATCACACAGGCATACTTATAAATACAGCCCAAAACACATTCTGCTATATCTCGAGTATGGGGATACCACATGTGAGACTTTCACAGCCTACATGCACAGAAGGGTCCAAAATCCAAGAAAAGCCTTTGAGATTTCAAGGAGCATAAATTACGCATCTAATTTCATGACTATCACATTTTTGGAGGCCCTGGAGCACCAGGACAGTGGAAACACCCACAAAAATGACCATAACACTCCAAGGTATTTTCTAAGAAAGGTGAGAGTATTAAAAAAAAAAAAGTATTTTTTTCCACAAGCTTTTAGACCATGCAGGAAAGAAAATGAATTATCAACCTAAAGAGGATTGAATTCAAAGACACCCTGAAAATCAAAGTAAAAAAATTATGCAGCAGGCTAGTCTATTTTGATGAAATTTCATTGCAGCAACTCAAACAAATGGTATTCAGTAGTTTGTATGGCCCCCACATCAATTAATAAGATATTTGTAATGCACATCATAGGCATACTTAGAAAGAGTAGCAGAAAGCGTTTTGAGGTATAACTCTTAAGTATGGAGATACCACACATGTAAAACTTTAACACAGCCTAGCCATACAGAGGGGCCCAAATCCAAGGAGCACCTTCAGGCTTTCTGTGAGCATCAATTTTGCATCTAATTTACTCACTACCTATCACATTTTGGAAGCCCTGGAGCACCAGGACAGTAGAAACACCCATAAAATGTCCACAAACATTGAAAGGTATCTGCTATGAGGCATAGTGAATCTTAATTTTTTTGGCACAAGTTTTTAGGAAAAGCAGAATGTAAATGAGGCATCCATTACAAAATGTAAAAAACGAAGCTAATAGTTTTACAGAACGCAGCAACATCTGCACATGTGGGACACCCACATCAGAGGTGATTTATTCTTCCAAAGCAAGTACACCTTTTCACACTGGTACTGACTAGTAGTCCATTGTTTCTATACTCCCTCACTTTCTCTCACTCAGCTAATGTGACCCTAGTGCTGATGAAGAGGGGCAGGGAAGGAGCAAACAAGGATGCTGTGCAGGGGCTGATGTCCTTCTTATGAACTGATGACATCATTAACATTCTCATCGGCTAAAGTTGTAGTGGTGCACAACCTGTGAAAACCTATGGCTTTGTGTAACTAGGCAGGCTTGATCCACCTGCTGGTTTGTATACAACTTTTGGGCAATTTTTAGACATTTTGTCAAGGCACCCCTTAAGAAACCTGAAGGCACCCCAGGATGTCTGGGCACTGTGGTTGCAAAAGGCTGGTATTTACATACGGTCACTGACTGGTGACCGTATGTAAAATATATACACAGTGGATATAAAAAGTCTACACATCCCTGTTATAGTGTCAGGTTTTTGTAATGTATAAAAAAATTAGACAAAGATAAACCATTTCAGAACTTTTTCCACCTTTAATGTGACCTATAAACTGTACAACTCAATTGAAAAACAAACAGATATCTTTTAGGACTGGGAAATAAACATAAAAAATAAAATGTGGTTGCATAAGTGTGCACACCCTCTTATAACTGGGGATGTAGCTGTGTTCAGAATTAAGCAATCATGTTCAAAATCATGTTAAATTGGAGTCAGTACACACCTGCCATCATTTAAAGTGCCTTTGATTAACCCCAAATAAGGTTCAGCTGTTTTAGTAGGTCTTTCCTGACATTTTCTTAGTCGCATCCTACAACAAAAGCCATGGTCCGCAGACAGCTTCCAAAGCATCAGAGGGATCTCATTGTTAAAAGGTATCAGTCAGAAGGGTACAAAAGAATTTCCAAGGCCATGGAACACAGTGAAGATAGTCATCATCAAGTGGAGAAAATATGGCACAACAGTGACATTACCAAGAACTGGACGTCACTCCAAAATTGATGAAAAGATAAGAAGAAAACTGGTCTGGGAGGCTGCCAAGAGGCCTACAGCAACATTAAAGGAACTGCAGGAATATCTGGCAAGTACTGGCTGTGTGGTACATGTGACAACAATCTCCAGTATTCTTCATATGTCTGGGCTATGGGGTAGAGTGGCAAGAAGGAAGCCTTTTCTTACAAAGAAAAATATCCAAGCCCAGCTAAATTTTGCAAAACACATCTGAAGTTTCCCAAAAGCATGTGGGAAAAATGTGTTATGGTCTGATGAAACCAAGGGTGAACTTTCTGGGCATAATTCCAAAAGATATGTTTGGCGCAAAAAACAACACTGCACATCACCATAAGAACATCATGCCCACAGTGAAGCATGGTGGTGGCAGCATCATGCTTTGCGGCTGTTTTTCTTCATCTGGAACTGGGGCCTTAGTCAAGGTAGAGGGAATTATGGACAGTTCCAAATACCAGTCAATATTGGCACAAAACCTTCAGGCTTCTACTAGAAAGCTGAACATGAAGAGGAACTTCATCTTTCAACATGACAACGACCCAAAGCATATATCCAAATCAACAAAGGAATGGCTTCACCAGAAGAAGATTAAAGTTTTGGAATGGCCCAGCCAGAGCCCAGACCTGAATCTGAAAATCTGTAGGGTGATCTGAAGAGGGCTGTGCGCAGGAGATGCCCTCGCAATCTGACAGATTTAGAGTGTTTTTGCAAGGAAGAGTGGGCAAATATTGCCAGGTCAAGATGTGCCTTGCTGATGGACTCATACCCAAAAAGACTGAGTGCTGGAATAAAATCAAAAGGTGCTTCAACAAAGTATTAGTTAAAGGGTGTGCACACTTACGCAACCATATTTTAATTTTACTTTCCTCCACCTAAATGATTTCAGTCTGTTGTTCAACTGAGTTGTACAGTTTATAGGTTACATTAAAAGGTAAAAAAGCTCTGAAATGATTTATCTTTTTTTACATCACAAAAACCTGACAATTTAACAGGGTGTGTAGACTTTTTATATCCACTGTATGTATATATATAATATTTTTTTAACAATACAATTATTATTATTATTTTTTTTTTCTTTACATACTGTCACTAAAGTATTGCAGTGTCATTACAGTGATGATCATTTTACCTGTCATGAATGGCTTTCATTCAGAACTCTTGTTTTACTCATTATTGTGATGCTGTGATTGGCCACAGCTATCATATGGTACAGGGCCATGCAATCACTGTGACCAATCAGAGCATCACAATAGTAAATAATGAATCATGAATGGATGCCATTGATGACAGTTATTTACTTGGTTAGCATGTGATTGCTTACATGGTACCTGGGCCAAACACAGCGACCCAGTACTGATCACTCAGTTCTGCTGTGTTTGGTGGGAGACACCTGTGTGGCCAGGGGGGGCGCGACTGGGAGGATGGTATGCGACTTCCACACAGGATAAGAAAACATCTGCCCAGCCACAATTTTACAAGTGGTTAAAGTGAACAGTACAGTAAAATGCAGGGTCTGCTCAAATCGCCAAGGCTACCTCCCCCTTTAAAGTAATCACCAACTGTTGTTAAGTGTAATATGGATCTGTAAATTATATTTATATTTACCTTACCCCATCCTCCGCATTGCTGATTGCAATGTCACCCTCCTTCCAGGAAAAAACTTTGGGAAAGCAAAACAGGCTAAATCTCATGAGAAGACACTCCAGTTCATCTAATGCAAGATTTTGGCTGCTCCATTTTACCCAGCATCTAGCTGGAAGGAGTGTGATATTATCCTTGCCTAGGTGCCAGGTGGAAGGCAGAAGTAAGTTAATTATAAACCCCAATTTTCTTTACAGCTACATTTTACCCCCACTAATAGTAATTTGTAAAGAGGAAAGGGGCATGAACAGCAGAAGCAGAACTTGAATTTTACAAGGTCAATTTTACATGCAGGAGAGTATGGAAGAACATACAAACTACATGGGATGCCTTTGGAGGGCAACTCAATACAGGACTTTGGGGATGCAAAGATGTGCTAATGACGAAGATGCCATGTTACCTATATAAAATCTAAATACAGTGACTTTGTGCTGTTCATGGAAAAAGAAATAACCTAAACTGGTCAGTCTTTAGATGCATATACTGTTTTCACTGGAGAAAATCTAATTTCTGGCAAAAACGTCTTCACTCATCACCAAGGACAGAGATCATTATGGTAGCCTTAACTGTAGATTAGAGACTGTCTTGGAACTTACTACCAATAATAAATTCTGGAAGAGCCCATCTATGATTTTTACAAATCAAACGTATATTAATTTTTTTCTCAATTCCCCTCAATGGTCTACTTTCCACAGACTATAAAGCACTGGTCTGATGCATGTGTGCTATATATCTCCAAAAGGAACTATGCTCTTGATTACTTTTGTAATTCCTGCATTGCTCCCTGAATATTAAACTACAGCAAGTGAAAGTGGAACTACAAACTTGCAGTATGTATATGTTCAAGTCCACATTCTGATCAGATTCAGATCCACCTATTAGCTCTTGAAGCGCTGTCTTGTGCTTCTGGATTGCAGAGGTTCCATATAGGACTTTCAGGTCTCAGGTAGTATAGTAGGACAGCTTTCCAAGACCACATCATTTTTACTCCATAAATCAAATGTTTCTTTATCAACACTTCCCAGACTGAAAAATGCTTAAGCTGCACCAGAAACTATTGTCTTCTGTGGTATGCATGACAGCAGTATATACTGCATTTCAGTATATGTGCCATCTATTTGTCATTATGTAATCAGTGACTTGGAAAAAACCAGTCTCCTCAGTAATATTTGACAGTGGAAAGGGAAACACTAAATTCATGTATGTGTTCGCTGATGTCTAAGGAGGTGAGATCTGTAATCAAACTGTTTGCCACACTGAATACACTTGTGAGGCTTTACCCCTGTGTGTTTACGCTGATGTACGAGAAGACGAGACCTATAGTTAAAGTCCTTTCCACACTCCTCACATTTATGGGGCTTTTCTCCATTGTGAGTTCTTAGGTGTACTACAAGACGGGATCTGTACTCAAACTCTCTGCCACACTGCTGGCATCTATGAGGCCTCTCAACTGAATGCTTCTTCATATGCTCTGCAAGGAATGGCTCAGAGATGAAACATTTGCCACATTCTCCACATATAAAAGGTGTAGCTGGTTCTTGAGGTAAGGTAAGACACGATTTGTATGTCAAGTCATTGTCAAATTCACCAAGCTGGTCTTCATTAGGCATTGCTTCAAATTCAAAATGTTCTGCTTTGGAATGCAGGTCTTGCTTCCTACTCTTTCGTCTTATGAGATGCAAATTGTCCCATGTTGTATTATTTTCATGGAGAAAACTTTCAACCAGAGGGAATGGTTTAGGTTCATGCTGATTAGGCAAAGGATCAGGTATGACATTAACAACATCGTAAGAATCATTAGGGAAGTTACTGATAAAGTTTTCCTCCTGGAACTCCTCAGTAATGTACGTTCTTTCACCTGGAGCTTCATCATGAACAAGCACAGAATGTGATTCCTCCACTGTTCTCACCAACACTGAATCCTCTGTGCAAAGAATAAATGGATTATTAGACAATGGCAGCAGCCATTGAAAAGGTATTTCACACATAGCATAAGCGTATTAAAGAACAATACTCACCTGTGGCATCAATGATTGTCTCTGGTTTATCCACCAAATGTCCACGTTCATGCATCTCATCCACTTGTTCAGTTATAGCTGCAGAATCATTAACATCACCTGCACAAAATTAGCATCATCACTAGTATCACATTTTCCAAACTAGCCAGATCCAAGTAGGGTTTTATTAATTAAAATGAGCTGATGTTGCATTAGCTGCTGTAATGTCTGCAGTGACAGACTAATGGTGTGCCACCGTAGGAGGGTAAAAGAGATACATCCAGGGCAGGAAATTTAAAGAGTAACAACTTTTGTTGAGAAAAAAAACATTCCCCTCTCGGTTATCAAAGTCCATTACAATGATATTAACAAACTGTGATGCAGATTCCTATCTTGCGTTATTCTGAAGAAACAGCTGTTTGTTTGCCTGTATCCATGTGCAAAGTGAATATGAATGAGAGTGATTTTATAATTATCAATCAGCTGCAGGGTTCTAATGAAGAATGTAGCAGGGTCTGAATCCTTTTGGACATGATTTACCTTTGGGAGAATCTCACCAAAAATTATATTTTTGTTGCAGAGGATGTCCAAAATCTGACTTGTATCTTTTTGCAGACTTCCTGAAAATTCAGTAAGCCAATTACACAAAGAAATTACATTTCTGGGGGGTGTTACATACACCATCTGTGTAGAGTACCTACAGGCTGCCATATTGCTTTTCATTTAACAGAGAATTACAGCGCTGTAGATTGAAAAGTCAAGGACATTTTTATAACATTTAGTTATGATTGGACTTGTGTAGCAATTATACAGTATATGCTATATTATTGTTTTTAGTTGTTTTTGTTTTTTTTCCACGAAGTGGAGTTACACTTTAAAACAAGTGTGCAGACGACAAAATGCTCCCAGCCTGGAAACGGCATAGGAAGACACTGCCAATCCACTTTAGCACAAGACAGACATTGCCAAAAGCCCAGGGGCCCAATACCTCAAATTAGGACATAGCAGAGCATACTACACATGAAAAAGCTAATGCCTCCAGCAGTTTTAACACCAAGGTCCAACACTAAACCAAGGAGCTGAAACAATCTGCTCTTGTGCTTCCACTATGAGACTTTTTATAATAAGGGTTGCCACCAGCTTCCAATACTGTAGTAACATGGTCACCCTCCAGTTTGAACTACAGGCAACTGTGCTTTCAATCCACTGCAGTCGATATCCCCTGCTGGTTGAATTGCTGCTGGTCTGGCCATTTAGCAGCTGAGACATGAACTTCCTGTAATTCTAACTTTTGCTGTACGGCTTGACCTGCTACAGGAAGCTGCTGGCAGGATCAACAAGTTACATTATCTTACATGGGGACTCAAAAACACAAATACTGTTGTGTTAATTCTGGTGACAGTCTAGTGTCTTTCTATTTTGCCTTTAGTTTAAAAGAGAACTCCACTTAAAAGGGTAAGGTTCTGCTTTAAGTCCTCCAAGTCCTCCTCCTCCACCACATTTGGCATGTATTTTTTTTTTTAAGGGGGGGTTTATATAGTTTTCACAGGTACCCGCTCCCATTTCTTCCGAGCCAAAGTTCAGCCACCCCATCACCTGCATCTTTTTGGGGCACGTCACAGGTCCCAGAAAACTCAGGGACTATTCAAAAAGTGCAGTAAGAAGCCGGCTGTGAAGGCACAAGTTGTAACAGTCAGATTCCCACACTAAAAGATGCAAGCGCCGAGAACCCGGTGACTAGTGAACAACCAGCCCAGGTGAGGATGGTGCTGGATCCCTGGACAGGCAAGTGTCCTTTTATTAAAAGTCAGAAGCTACATACAATCAAAAAATCAAAAAAATTAAAAGAATCTCACCAACAATAACATCTGGTTCTATGTCTAAATCTTTGCTGGCTTCTTCTCTTGTTTCTGTATCCTCCACTCCATCAGGTATCGACACACATTCTATTTCGTCGTCTTGAACATCTGCACATTACAGTTGAAATCAGATAAAAGCATGATATTGCTTACATCATCTTTAATGTTTGCAATCAGCAAATAAATTAAATCGGTTGTTCAGATATTAGGACTGCAATAAAAAATGTAACTCCAGACAGATGAAAAAGAGCCTAAATAAAGTAGCTCTGTAATAGCAAATCATAATGTGTTTTTTTTTTAAGCAACTAATACAAGTACATGAATTTGACTTGATATCAGTCTACTGCAACTCACTGTATAGCAGTACTCAGTGTGAGAGAGGGAGGGGCAGCAATAGAAGCCATTTAGGTGTGCTGCATGCAAGTGTATGGAAAGGGAGCGCTGAGAGAAATAAAATAGAGCGAGCAAAGGAATGGCCTCATCCGTCTCATTTATTGTTCAGTCAGCAGACGGGTTGTGGGGAGATTACACCACTCTATTTCTTTACTGTAGCAGGAAAGAGTGGTGTCAATCCACCTGGCTGTGCTGCCTGGTAGGGTTATGTAAACCTTAGGACTGAATGGACAGACAGTTAAATCCTTTGTCATGTAAAGCAGCTAAACAGCTTCCTTATATGTATTTCATGTGTAACTAACGGTTTGCCAGGAGTTAAGCTTTCAATACTGGTTTTAACACCATTTTATAATATTTTTGAGCAAGCAATGCAAAACAATCTTATTTTTCTTATGTAAGCTATCAAATCACATCATCCCTTATGTAATGGAGATGAACAAAGGCACACATTGAAGTCCACCCTTTGTGACAACCATGGCTAACTCTATACATACAGTGAAGTGAGTGAACAAAGCCACTCAGGGACAGGACGTATTTTATTCACAGGATTACTGAAATTAGAACAAAGGAAAAAAGCCTAAAAAAAAGGAAAGCTAATGCAGCCACCCCATCTGTGTACTGCAAAAAAAAAAAAAATAAAATGGCCACTGGGTTAGATGCACTTTGAGGCTCAACATTCAATTCTGACTGAAGTGTACTTTTGTTATCAGTAAAAGGCTAGCAGCATTTCAGAGAGTGAAAGCAAGTTTTGTATATTGACTTTTACACAACTCAAAAATCAATAATGTACCTGTGTCAAATTTCAAATTAGTAAATGGAAAACTCAGATTTAGATAATAAAAATTGACAGAAAATGCACAGTAATGAAAAGTTTTAGTGAACCAACCCCTAATTTTTTTTTCAGTACCGGTAAATGCTTCAGTTAGCCAAAAAATGTGTCTCTGGCAAGCTGATTTGTCCATACATGTAAAGAATATGTTTCACATTTACTATATTCAGGAAGTTAAATAATCACCTAAACTTATTTTGGATTCCATTCTCATTTCATTGAAGGACTGGCCATTATTAACGGTCACATCTTTATAAAGGTTCTTGTTTTCCTCTATGTAATCCCATTCCTCCATAGAGAAATATATGGATATGTCACCACACTTTATTGGTACCTTAAAATACAAAAGAAAGTCAGAGCAATCAAACCCAAGTTGCCCTGTATAAAATAGCTATCTATATGATTTATAAATATATTTAAACAATTCAAGAGCTTATCGGAAGCAAAGCTAGCCATGCAATTCTTTCTTGAGTAATTGGCTGAAGGGCATTGTTAAAATATAGGAGTTTTGTTAAATACAAAAGTATAAACCTTTTTTTCACCTTTTAATTATTTTTTTTGTTTAAAAGGTGCCACATATTCTACAGCAGGGGTGCTCAACCTTTGAAGAGTGAGGGCCACTTAAGTGATTTGGTACCTGGTTGCGGGCCACGATGAAATGTATTGGATCAGAATTTTGAATATTTTATTTTGAATAGCATAATGAACATTTTCGTCCTTCAGCCCTTGAAGGCTGGTGGGAGAGGGAAGAGAAACCAGCTTTCAGCAGTTGCAGGAAGGAAATGGAAAGGATTGGTTATATGCCATCCCTCCTGTCCAAGTGTAAAACAGAATGTGACAGGGAGGCCACATAGGCTCCCTGGAGCATGGGGAAGGGTTGCCATTACAACCCCTGATGCTACATTAGTGGTTGGGGTGTATGGTAAAAACAGGTCTCAACTGTGAGGTTTTACAGACCCCCCCAAACCACAAATTTAAATGAGCCCTTGCTGTCTTGAGCTCCCTACAAAGCTGCTCTCACACTTATGTGCAGCAGTTTACCCCCACAGCAGTTGCAGTGCAGTGCACCGGCAGCTTTCCAGTGGGCTAGCTGCACTTTTCCATAGACTTCTATTATATCTTGCGGGTGCAGTGCTATTTCTGAAAGCGCACCAAAATGCCTGAATTCAGTTTGAGGTCGAGGAACACATCAGAGGGCTCCGAGGGCCACAGGTTGAGCACCCCTGCTCTAGAGGAATGATTAGCAATGCAAGTGATCTTTTGCTTTTACTAAAACACAGAAAAAAAATCATTCAATAAAGCAGTACAAAAAAAAAACGAACTAAAGTTTATTAAAGTGTATTGCCTCCACATTGGGATAACACATACTTTATATTTATAGTGTTATGTAAAGTAGCTATTAATTCACAAAAATATTTACAAATTACCCTAATTAGTAGGTAATTACAACCATGTATTGAACTAACTTGTTTTACCTCTCCCCTCCCTTTGGCGTGGAAGACAAATTGTGGATACACTGATACAATGACTACATGACGTTGTTTCTCTGCTATACACCAGGGCAACTTTAGCCTTTGATTTTTAGATTCCAAATATAAGTAATTTTCTAGCCTGGCCTTGTTTTGTTGCAGATCCTCAAATATATGCAGTCAGCTGCTTATTTTGACTTGGATTTGGTATGTTTATTAATTGCACATGGCTGCACTGCTACTCATACATGTACGTCTGTACTCCGTTTGAAACCCTTGAACAAAATATTGAAACAGAAAACATATTTAAAAATTACTGCTTACAATTTTACTTGCTCTTTCCTTCCTGAAAAATCCTACTTCGCTTCCTCTTGTATATAAGTGTTAGAAGAGGTCTAGTGAGTTAGGTTTACCATAATTAACCCTGTCTGTACTGCGCTGACAGATCTTTTATCAGTTTTAAACTAATGTGCACCCTATCTGTCCTAACAAAGGGTTAAAATATCCCAAAGCTTGGGTGGTGCATTGATAGGCACTTAAAAGAAAAAAAGAAAAAAGAAAAATCAGTCCATAAATCTGTTCCCTATTTGCACACTGCAAGCTATTCTGAACAAAACCAATATTGAGAGCCCTATAACTAATAGCTGAAGTCCATCCTCAATGCTTAAACAGGATCTACACTGTAACTGAGCACCACAAATCAAAAAACACAATTTAATTATTTTTTAGTATTTAAAGTAAACTCCCCCATCCATGATCCCATGCTTTATTTTGCTGAGAAATTGCTTCGAAAATTACTGGTATTTTGTGTATGATATTCAGTTTATACTATTGGATTTTGCCTTTTGGGTACATACTCTGTATGTCCTCTTATCGTACAGTATTTCATTTGATTTGAGACCTTGCTGCTGTTTTGTCTGGTACTGCACTGTTGAATGCTTTACTTGTATAAAGCATTGGCAAAAGAAAAAAAAGAAAGAAGAAACACCCCTTAAAATTTCTGGCCACTACCATCTTGAGTAAGGGCAGAAGATTCATGTAGCATTTACTTCCTGGAATCCATCTGCCCTTAGCTCAGGCATGAAGGTAGGAGAGCGTGCTTAGCTGAAAAAGCTCCCCCCCCCCCGCCTTCGCTCCTGAAGACTCATGGGATGTATGACATAATTTGCCTAGGCCTAGAAACCAAGAAGTAATTGAAGAAATAGATAAAAAAGTAAATATAATATACCTTTCTATCTGTTTTCTAAAGCTAGCACCATAAGGCTTAGAGATAAAAGTCAAGGTTGAGTGAGAGTGATATTTCACTTTAAATTACCAATATATAGAGCCCAATGTTCAAAACTGCTACAAAGAAACAACCAGAAAAATAATTAAAAATGTTTTTTTTAGGTATGCTGTTTGAATGTGAACACAAACATATAGTGTTTAAAAAAAACTTGAAAAAAAAAAGAGGGTAACACTTTAAAAACTAGAGTAACTAGATTTTAGTGTCTGAAAAGGGACATTTTCCTATTACGTCATAAAGGTTAGTGCACTATTCTCTTTGCCTTACTAAATAAAATGAATAAACTGTGGTTGAGCTTAAGAGATTATATAGCTTTTAAAAGTGGAGCTTCTCAACGAAGTGACAAATAAATTCTGTCTGGCATATCTAATGGCTGCCAAAACACCCAGTATGCAGCTCATAGCCAGAGATCATGTGATCTTTAGGCTACGTTCACACTAGCCTTTGTGTGCAGGCGGCAGAGAGGCGTTTGGGAAGCGTTTTTTACCGCTTCCCAAACGCCTCTGCCAATTCTGCACATTACAGCACATGGTGCTGTTCTAACGGGAGCGTTTGCGTCACGTCGCGTTGCGTCGCGGCAAAACGGACGCCTCTGGTCGAGTCAGGAGGCTTTGAAGCCTCCTATTCTCGTCTATGGTGCCGCTCCGCAAACGCCCGGCCGGCGTTTGCGGTGCGGTTGCGACGCGTTTGCGGGGCGTTTGCGGAGCGGTAACACCACTCAAACTGTATTATAGGCGTTTGTGGGGCGTTATTAACGCTCGGAAAACGCCTAGCAACCGCCACTAAAACCGCGCATGCGGCGTTTGCGGAGCGTTTGCCGAGCGTTAATAACGCCCCACAAACGCCGGACCAACGCTTGCCAAACGCTATAGGGGCGTTTGGCAAGCGTTGGTAAAACAGCCAAGTGTGAACGAGCCCTTACCTAGGTAGTAATCTCAGAGAAACATTTTATAAGCTAATTAGCGTGCAATAAAAACTTAAAAGAAAGTCCACATATACTGTGGTCAGGTGCTGATTTGTTAGGAGCCAACCAGTAAATTTTAAATTCTGCAGCAAAACTTACATCTCCAGTCAGTAAATGTGTGCTGTTGTGTGGTGTATTCTTCTTTACAACCATGTATTCCTGTAGAATAAACAACAATGCTGAAAAAAATGCGAATTATGGTTTTACAGCAGGAACACATTCACACTTTTGCACTGCGTTAACACACTTTATGCCATGCATTAACATGCATTGTGTTAAGTCAGCCTATCCATTTGAAAATGGCATGTAGCATTTTTGGCAGTGCACTGCACTACACCATTACATAATCCTCATAGCTCCTGGCAATAGAGGAAAAATTGGAATTTTCTACATACGGTACTTACCTGTAAAATCCATTTCTTGGAACATCACAGGACACAGAGCAAGCTATTCATGACTATGGGGGTTATATGCCACCTATAGGTGAATGGACACTGGCCAACCAATCAGAGAAGAAGTCCTCTCCTACATAACTCCTCTTACACAGGAAGTACTTCAGTTTTTGTAGCAAGCAATGAAATTCCAGAAACAGGGAAGGCACCTCTGTGTCCCATGATGTACTCCAAGAAATAGATTTTACAGGTAAGTACAGGTGAAGCTCAAAAAATTAGAATATCGTGCAAAAGTTCATTTATTTCAGTAATCCAACTTAAAAGGTGATTTGTCATAATTGTGATGATTATGGCTTACAGCTCATGAAAACCCCAAATCCACAATCTCAGAAAATTACAATATTGTGAAAATGAACAATATTCTAGGTTCAAAGTGTCCCACTCTAATCAGCTAATTAAGCCAGACCACCTGCAAAGGGTTCCTGAGCCTTTAAATAGTCTCTCAGTCTGGTTCAGTAGGAATCACAATCATGGGAAAGACTGCTGACCTGACAGTTGTGCAGAAAACCATCATTGACACCCTCCATAAGGAGGGAAAGCCTCAAAAGGTAATTGCAAAAGTTGGATGTTCCCAATTGTCAGGAAAAGACCATTCAAAAGTGTTGGGGACTTTCACAAGGAGTGGACTGAGGCTGGAGTCGATGCATCAAGAGCCACCCCACACAGACGGATCCTGGACATGGGCTTCAAATGTCGTATTCCTCTTGTTAAGCCACTCCTGAACAACAAACGTCAGAAGCGTCTTACCTGGGCTAAAAAAAAACAGACCTGGTCTGTTGCTCAGTGGTCCAAAGTCCTCTTTTCTGATGAGAGCAACTTTTGCATCTCATTTGGAAACCAAGGACCCAGAGTATAGAGGAAGAATGGAGAGGCACACACTGCAAGATGCTTGAAGTCCAGTGTAAAGTTTCCACAGTCTGTGTTGATTTGGGGAGCCATGTCATCTGCTGGTGTTGGCCCACTGTGATTCATTAAGTCCAGGGTCAACGCAGCCGTCTATCAGGAGATTTTGGAGCACTTCATGCTTCCTTCCGCAGACGAGCTTTATGGGGATGCTGACTTCAGTTTCCGGCAGGACTTAGCACCTACCCACACTGCCAAAAGCACCAAAACCTGGTTCAATGACCATGGGATTACTGTGCTTGATTGGCCAGCAAACTCACTTGACCTGAACCCCATAGAGAATCTATGGGGCATTGCCAAGAGAAAGATGAGACACATGAGACCTAACAATGCAGAAGAGCTGAAGGCCGCTATTGAAGCATCCTGGTCTTCCATAACACCTCAGCAGTGCCACAGGCTGATAGCTTCCATGCCATGCCATTGAGGCAGTAATTACTGCAAAAGGGGCCCAAACCAAGTACTGAGTACATATGCATGCTTATACTTTTCAGAGGTCCGATATTGTTCTATGTACAATCCTTGTTTTATTGATTGCATGTAATATTCTCATTTTCTGAGATTGTGGATTTGGGGTTTTCATGAGCTGTAAGCCATATCATCACAATTATGACAAATCACGGCTTGAACTATCTTGCTTTGCATGTAATCAGTCTATGTCATATATTATTTTCACCTTTTAAGTTACATTACTGAAATAAATGAACTTTTGCACAATATTCTAATTTTTCGAGTTTCACCTGTATGTAGAAAAAAAATCCAATTTTCTTTATCGTACCTCACGGGACACAGAGTAGGCTATTCATGGCTATGTGGGATGTCCTAACGCAATAAAGAAAACTTTGAGGGGTGGGAGACACCAAAATAGGAACCCAAAAATCTTACAAACACATTTACCCGGGAGCCATTTCTTGGCAAATAAGGGCAAAAAAAAGATTTCCAGGTCCTGTAATGGAAGCTCCCTGAAGCCAGCTTTCTAGCGCTCAAAAACGGTGGGAAAACAGGACAAAGACCCCCCGATCTTACCAGACCTGGGTTTAAGTAGCCAAGCCTTCAATCCTAGCAACTGCATACAAGATACATTATTGGACCCAAGACAATAGGTCTGGTCAGACTAGACATGTTCAAGGAGCGTCCCCCTGCCAGATACACTATGTTGGTGTATCAAGTCCTCCTGGGCGAGGCAGGCTACCACTATTATTAGAGTTACCTCCTCACGGACTCTGCACAAAAGACATGACAATAGCTGAATCGGTGGAAAGCACAGATTGAGGAGAACTGGTCCCTAAGATGTTACCAGTGCATCTACCCCTATTGCCAGTGGGTCTCTCGACATGAACACAACCTAACTTGTTGTAGAACCAAGAAGTCAGTAGATCCACATTCAAAGTTCCCCAACGATGGCAGATTGCCGAGAACGTCTTGGGATGCAGGGACCATTCTCCCGGTATCGGCTTCTGGGAAAAAAAAACCCTGCCCATTTCCTATACCTGGAATATGTACTGCCAACATAGACAGCACATGCTGTTCTTGATGGGCAGTATTCCCTCCTGTGGAGACAAAGTCCCCCTGAAATGTAGTTACCTTTAAACCAGACCCCCAACCAGAGAGACTGGCATCAATGGTTACTGTCTTCCATATCACTGGAAGGAAAATTAGCCCTTCTCCAGATACTGAACAAACAACCACCAATTCTGCAATACCCCAGGGACAAAGCCCTCTGGCAATCCCACGCTTAGACCTTCATGATCCAGACAGAATGTTCCTCTACAGAAGACCCGAAATGGAACAGCATAAAGGAAACTGCTTCATTGTAGATATCATTTCCACATGCGGAGGTGTACCGAAGTATACCTTTTGCTTCTTATATTTCACTTTAAACTTGAAACCAACTGCTTCCTGAGCAAAGGAACATTAAGGTATTCTGAGACTGACACCACTCCATGTCCTCATCATGCCCAGCACCAGGGCTAGGAGCTTTACAAACACTCAGAGGGCTGTGGCCAGCTCAAAGGGCAGTGCTCCAAAACAAAAATAAAATGGCGATTCTTTACTGCAATCACAGAAACCTTTAATAAGCCTATAAAATTGGCACGTGAAGAAATGCATCATTGAGAACTATGGACACCCGAAATCTATCTCTTGCAGACAAGCCACCACTGATCAGATCAATCGCATCTGAAAAAGAAGGAAGTCTAGACTTACGTCTAGTGCCTTCAGATCTAAGAAAGACCTCACACCCCTGCTTGGTTTTGGGCCTGCAAACCCGTTTTGAGTGTCTTGAATCACCTCAGAGACTGCACTAGCATCCTCTGCCTGAGAGGCTTCTCAAAACACAGCCGTCTCAGACTCTGGAGGGGAAACGCTTACAACACCTGGTATTCCCAGGCAGTCTTCTCTCCAAGTATTAACCAGGGCCTACCCTGTTTAACGTCCAAGTACAGGTAAGTTCAGGGTAATGCGGCTGCAATCCATTGCAGCCCCACCACCTGGAACAGCTGAAATGCCAGACAAACGCAGTGGCCCAGATACCCTTGGTTTATTGTGAAATTCCAACACCGCCAGATTACCCCCCCCCCCCCCCCCCCCCCCCCCTTCGAGTCCACTGGACCTGAGAGCAATGCACCTGCCTCTTGGTTTCCTCCCTCTTGTGGGACCTTTTAAGTCAAAAAGGCAGCAGCTATATTGTCACCTAGCTGTGCAGGGATATAGGTTCATAACCATCTTGGTCTACAGTTATGTGAATACGCAGGCAAGCACACATGTAGCTATGCCAGTACATAGGTATGTAAGTATGCAAATTATACAAGTATCCAATTCACACAAGTATGCATATAAGTATGCAGTTTGTGCAAATACGCATGTACTTACGCTGTTCATGCAAGTATAGGTATGCAGTCTATGTAAGTATGCATGTACGTATGCAGTTCATGCATTCAGCATGTACGTATGCAAGTTATGCATTAGGTATGCATGTACATATGTAAGTTATGTATTGCATATGCCTTTACGTATCCAAGTTATGCATTGAGTATGTATGTATCCATGCAGTTTAACCGCTTCCGCTCCGCCCTATAATAGAAATACTGCTACAGTGCGCACACCCTACCTGCGCTGCCATTTGCTGCCTCAGCTGTCAATCACCAGGTCCCGGCCGGTGATTCCCCATAGGGACCTAGTGATCTCCCTGGATTTCCGATGGGAGAGAGACCTGTATGTAAACAATACACATCTCTCCCCTGTTAGCTAATGCACACTGCTTTGTATAGCTCTGCATAGCAGAGCCATACAAAGCAGTGTGTTTACAGTTAAACAGTGTCTGTGCTTTTTATTAGCACTGATAACTGTTGGTGTCACTGGGGATGTCAGCAACACCAAGTCAGTTCCCCCAGTGTCAGAATGCCTGCCGCAGTCCTGCTATGAGTCGCTGATCGCCACCATTATGAGGAAAAAATAAATAAATTCCAGTAGTATATATACTGCCATTTGTAAACGCTACAACTTTCACGTAAACCAATTAATTTACATGTATTGGGATTTTTTTTTATAGCAAAGACATGTAGCAGAATACATTTTGCCCTAAATTTATGATGAATTCGATTTTTTAAAAATGTTTTTACTGGACATGTTTAATAGCAAAAAGTTAAAAATATAAGGTTTTTTTTTTTCAAAATTGTTGGTCTTTTTTTGTTTATAACGCAAAAAAAATAAAAAAAACACAAGGAATCAAATACCACTGAAAGAAAGCTCAATTTGTGGGAAAAAAGGACGTAAATTTCATTTATGCATGACTGCACAATTGTCAGTTAAAGTACTGCAGCGCCATATGGCTGCTCAGGAAGGGGGGTAAATCCTTTGGAAGGTAAGTGGTTAAGCATCAAGTATGCATGCATGCATGTATGTATGCAGTTCCAGCATCAAATATGCATGTATGGATGCAGTTTAAGCATCATGTACGAATGCAGCCTATGCATTAAGTATGCATGTACGAATGCAGTTTATTTAAATAATTATATAGGTATGCATGCAGTAATGTAATACAATGCTGCAACTGTCCTGCTTTCTAGAAGTGTATTTTTTGATCAAAGAACTGTCAAAATGAACTGCACTTGGTTACATACTAGTCAAGCACCTATGTACAGTGAATATAAAAAGTCCACACACCCCTGTTAAAATGTCAGGTTTTTGTGATGTAAAAAAAATGAGACAAAGATAAATCATTTCAAAACTTTTTCCACCTTTAATGTAACCTATAAACTATACAACTCAGTTGAACAACAAACTGAAATCTTTTAGGTGGAGGGAAGTAAAAATAAAAAAAATTTAAATAATATGGTTGCGTAAGTGTGCACACCCTTAAACTAATACTTTGTTGAAGCACCTTTTGATTTTATTCCAGCACTCAGTCTTTTTGGGTATGAGTCTATCAGCATGGCACATCTTGACTTGGCAATATTTGCCCACTCTTCCTTGCAAAAACACTCCAAATCTGTCAGATTGCGAGGGCATCTCCTATGCACAGCCCTCTTCAGATCACCCCACAGATTCAGAACTGGGCTCTGGCTGGGCCATTCCAAAACTCTAATCATCTTCTGGTGAAGCCATTTCTTTGTTGATTTGGATGTATGCTTTGAGTTGTTGTCATGCTGTTCAGCTTTCTAGCAGAAGCCTGAAGGTTTTGTGCCAATATTGACTGGTATTTGGAACTGTTCATAATTTCCTCTACATTGACTAAGGCCCCAGTTCCAGCTGAAGAAAAACAGCCCAAAAGCATGATGCTGCCACCGCCATGCTTCACTGTGGGTTTGGTGTTCTTTTGGTGATGTGCAGTGTTGTTTTTGCACCAAACATATCTTTTGGAATTACAGCCAAAAATTTCAACCTTGGTTTCACCAGACCATAACACATTTTTCTCACATGCTTCTGGGAGACTTCAGATGTGTTTTTGGAAAATTTAGCCAGGCTTGGATGTTTTTCTTCACAAGAAAAGGCTTCCGACTTGCCACTCTACCCCATAGCCCAGACATATGAAGAATACGGGAGATTGTTGTCACATGTACCACACAGCCAGTGCTTGCCAGATATTCTGCAGCTCCTTTAATGTTGCTGTAGGGTCTTGGCAGCCTCCCAGACTAGTTTTCTTCTGGTCTTTTCATCAATTTTGGAGTGACGTCCAGTACTTGGTAATGTCATTGTTGCACCATATTTTCACCACTTGATGATGACTGTCTTCACTGTGTTCCATGGTATATCTAATGCCTTGGAAATTCTTTTGTACCCTTCTCCTGACTAATACCTTTAACAACGAGATCCTTCTGATGCTCTGGAAGCTCTCTGGGGACCCTGGCGTTTGCTGTAGGATGCAACTAAGAAAATGTCAGGAAAGACCTACTAGAACAGTTGAACTTTATTTGGGGTTAATCTGAGGCACTTTAAATGATGGCAGGTGTGTACTGACTCCTATTTAACATGATTTTGAATGTGATTGCTTAATTCTGAACACAGCTACATCCCCAGTTAGAGGGTGTGCACACTTATGCAACCACAGAATTTTAGTTTATGTGTTTACTCCCCCCCACTAAAAGATATCAGTTTGTTTTTCATTGGGTTTTACAGTTTATAGGTCACATTAATGGTATAAAAAAAGTTATGAAATTATTTATCTTTGTCTTATTTTTTTACACCACAGAAACCTGACAATTGCAATTTTTTATAAAATGACAATACTGGCTTTTCATCCTTTGATGCATATCTGCACTGCTGAAGTGCCCGCATCCTCTTTGCAAACATTTCAAATCTACATACACTTACTCCAGTGATGGCTGCATGGCATTTCTCACAGCTCTTCTCTCTAAGGTGAGAACAGTGTACCCAGGGCTGTTAAAAAACCATGGGGCCCCATACAGCCAACCTAACAGCCCCCCCCCCACAAAAAAAGATTACTATATTTCAGCTATGAATGAACACAGTGGGTGATTAGTACCGATCACTCATTGTGCTCATTTAGAAAAAGGACGGAGCCGGTAAATGTGACATATTTACTGGACCCTTCCCCCACTCTCCTTCCTGAAGGATCCTGTTGTGTGCTTGCAGCTGCCGATGTTAAGGAGAGGAGGGAAGTTGGCACTAAGGGGGTATGGTGCAAAGGGAGGTAGGTGGGTGCGATGGGGGGGGACGTTACTGGTACCGATCCCTTGTATGGCTCTCTGCAACAGCTGAAAACCAGTGAGAGGAAGAGGAGAAGAAGCCAGCTTTCAGCTGCTGCAGAGGGAGTCATACAGGGGAACAGTTCCAGTATTTGCATGCCCCACTGTACCGATCACCCTTCCTGGCCACATACGATTCACCTAGCTGCCTGGGCCCCCCTGCTGGCCTGGGCCTGTACAGGAGGACTAGTGGTACCCCCCCCCCTTATCTCTGGCTGTGCAGGGACACATTATTTTAAGAAGGAAATTGTCTTACCACACAGCTGTGCTGTACAAACAAGAATTGGCTCAAGCTGCTTTGTCCTAGTTCTCTTTTATTTCCCAATACATTCTGGGATACAGGAGCCTGCACTGTCTCTCCCCCAGTGTCCAGCTAACACGTCATAAATGCTTCACTAACACACCATAAATCCCTAGGTGCTGTTGAGGTGCAGTTATTGGGCATCACCATTGAAATCAATGGAGGCGGTTGACAAGTGTTGTTGCCTCATGAAAGCGACAAACTGCCTCATTTTTACCACAACACAATGCTATCACTCCTGTGTGAACAGCACTGTGTGGTACCATTGTAATATTCATGGCTGGTGTTGGACAGTTATGAAACTTTAGAAATGCTGTATAACTGCCATAAACACGTGGCATTGACACATGTGACTGAGCCCTTACCTCTACTAGAAAATATCCTGTTAAACTTACCTCTCCAGTCAGGAGGTAGATGATCCCCAGGGCATGATTCAAGATCTTCTCGGTCAATTGCTTCTTGTCCATTTTGGCAATCATGTCTGAGACAAAAAAGCAGTACAATAAGTAAAATAACGAGAATGTGGTTTTGCAACAATGTTGTAGTCAATAATACACCAAATAACGAAAAGCAATAAATTACTTCATGTGATAAGATATCACTGGCTTCATATATGAAAGAACTTGTTACCTAAACACATGTTTTAATTGCATAAAAAGTTCTAATCACATTCATTTCTAAAAAAAAAAAAAAAAAAAAAAAAAAAAGGAAGAAGTATACATCATATTATAGTCTGAACTTCTTGCCTTACTTTGATCAGGGGTTGATTCCCACGAATACTACTATGTGTATGATTTTTTCCTGTTTGTGTGAACTTACACCAGGGGGTCTGGTGTCCTCCCAAACTGTGAAACAATTCTTCTAGGCCAACCAACTTCATCACAAAATGCCTGGCCCTGTATGTGAATGTGCCACAGGGACATTAGGCTGTGGACTCCTTTAGATATACTGATGTGAATGTTTTAATAGTCTCTGCAAAGTACTCTGAAACCTTGTCACTGCCATTCAGATGAGCAGACGACTCCCAGCTTATTCTTTACAACAATCTGATCACTTCTATGTGGCAGAACAGATGACACCCCCCTCCTCCCTTTCCCCATCACCAAGTTTCCAAGGCTCACCTTAAAATCACCGAAGATGCCCAAAATGTTTTCTGTTACCCAATTTTCTCTGCAATACTTGAACCTGAAGCATAACTGAGCACTTTCGGGTTCGAAGCTGCCAAATCCTACCTGGCTGAAGAGTAGATCAGAGATTCTCTGCCCCCAATCTGCTGTGGCTGAGTGCAAGGGAGACATTCAGGCCCCTGATATCTCTATAAAGAGAACCTAGCACTGCATATGTGCTATCACACATAGGGGTTAATTTACAAAATCTGGTGCAGCTCTGCATAAAAACCAATCAGCTTCCAATTTTTTTGTTGTCAAAGCTTAACTGAACAAGCTGAAGTTAGAAGCTGACTGGCTACCATGCACAGCTGCCCCAGATTCTGAGTGCTCCAGAGTCTGTGCACAAAAAAACCCCACTGGTAATAACATTTTTGGAGAGTTCAGAGCGTTTACAGATGTCAGTAATATGTATGGCAGTGTACAGAGGTCAGTAGGATGTAGGGCAATATGAGGTCACTAGGATGCGGGGCAGTGTACAGAGGTCACTAGGATGCGGGGCAGTGTAGTGGGTAGGGCAATGCACAGAGGTCAGTAGTGGGTAGGGCAATGCACAGAGGTCAGTAGGATGTAGGACAGTGTACAGAGGTCACTATGATGTAGGGCAATGCACAGAGGTCAGTAGTGGGTAGGGCAATGCACAGAGGTCAGTATTGGGTAGGGCAATGCACAGAGGTCAGTATTGGGTAGGGCAATGCACAGAGGTCAGTATTGGGTAGGGCAATGCACAGAGGTCAGTATTGGGTAGGGCAATGCACAGAGGTCAGTATTGGGTAGGGCAATGCACAGAGGTCAGTATTGGGTAGGGCAATGCACAGAGGTCAGTATTGGGTAGGGCAATGCACAGAGGTCAGTATTGGGTAGGGCAATGCACAGAGGTCAGTATTGGGTAGGGCAATGCACAGAGGTCAGTATTGGGGTAGGGCAATGCACAGAGGTCAGTATTGGGTAGGGCAATGCACAGAGGTCAGTATTGGGTAGGGCAATGCACAGAGGTCAGTAGTGGGTAGGACAGTGTACAAAGGTCAGTAGGATGTAGAGCAGTGTACAGAGGTCACTTGGATGCTGGCCAGTGTACAGAGGTCTGCAGTAGGTAGGGTAGTATACAGACGTTAATAGAATGAAGAGAAGTATACAGAGGTCCGCAGTATGAAGAACAGTGTAAATGGGTCAGTAGGGCAGAGGACAAGGGGTCAGGAGGGCCCAGGACAAGGGGGGTCAGGAGGGTATGGTACTAAGGGCTCAGGAGGGCAGAAGAGTAATGAGGGTACAGTGAAGGGGGCTCAGAAGGGCAAGGTACTGGGGGGTTCAGGAGGGTATGCTATTGGGGGGTCAGGAGGACATGGTACTGGGGGGTCAGGAGGACATGGTACTGGGGGGTCAGGAGGACATGGTACTGGGGGGTCAGGAGGACATGGTACTGGGGGGGTCAGGAGGACATGGTACTGGGGGGTCAGGAGGACATGGTACTGGGGGGTCAGGAGGACATGGTACTGGGGGGGGTCAGGAGGACATGGTACTGGGGGGTCAGGAGGACATGGTACTGGGGGGTCAGGAGGACATGGTACTGGGGGGGGGGTCAGAGAGGACATGGTACTGGGGGGTCAGGAGGACACGGTACTGGGGGGTCAGGAGGACACGGTACTGGGGGGTCAGGAGGACACGGTACTGGGGGGTCAGGAGGACACGGTAAGGGGGGGGGGTCAGAAGGACACGGTACTGGGGGGGTCAGAAGGACACGGTACTGGGGGGGTCAGGAGGGTACGCTATTGGGGGGTCAGGAGGACATGGTACTGGGGACTCAGAAGGGCAGAGTACAGAGGGGTCAGACGTGTACAGTGCAGGTGGTTCAGGAGAGCACGGTACTAGTGCCTCAGAAGGGCAGAGTACAAGGGAGTCAGGAGGACACGGTACAGGGAGACCAAGAGTGTATGGTGTAGGGAGGTCAGGAGGTTACAGTACTGAGGGGTCAGGAGGGCATGGTATTGGGGGGGGGGTACATGCAGGGGCTCAGTAGGTCACAGTACTAGGGACTCATGACGGCAGAGTACAGGAGGGTCAAGAAGGCACGGTATTGGGGGGTCAGGAGGGCATGGTACTAGGGGCTCAGTATGGCAGAGTACGGTTAGAAGGGTATAGTATAGGAGGGGTGAGGAAAGCACAAAAGTTCTTTCCTTATGCAGAGTGGCGCAGGGAAGCTGTTATAGCAGAGCTGTATATTCTGGTGCTGATCCCTGCCATCCCTCCTCTCAAATGATTTCACCTGGAAATGCCCTGGATGGATCACAGGACAGGGCAGGGGATGAGGCACGGACTGCAGTCAACCGAAGAGCTCAGAGGTGTTTGCTCAAGAGCCTGAACCCGCCCAAGCTATTTCGGAGGCTTACCCCATGCACGCATGCAAGGGGTGGGGGCTGTCTCCACAGGCTAGGATTGGTTGAGCATGTGCCGTGTGCTCTGCAAACTGTGCAGAAAACAAAGGATTGGCAACATGGGTACTTGTTCACAATCAGTCACCTGCCCATGGTCGACAGATGGATCGCGGTCGACGGGTTGCTGACCCCGGCTTTAAAGTCTCCCAACATACACCCACTAACTCAAAACTTTTACATCAATGATTGTAGGTCCTTATGTGCATACTAGTTCTGGGTTGGTGACTGAAAGCACGGTTTGACAAATCGCAGGTGCCAGGTCGCCATGGCATCTAGAAATTGCGTCCTGGTGCCTGGGTTCACACACTGCCTTCCACACACTCCACTGCAAAAACACCTCCCACGGACTTCAATGCAAAAACTCCAGTCAATAGCAATCCTACGTGAACAATTATCTCCGCATGCCACCCTGCTATCACTTGGGTTGGGGACTTAAAGCACGGCTTGACAAATTCCAGGTGCTATGGCGACTAGAAATTGCGTCCTGGTGCCTGGGTTCACACACTGCCTCCCACGGACTTCAATGCAAAGTCGCCTCCCACGGACTTCAATGCTAAATCGCCTCTCAGATGTCAATGCAAAAATGCCTCCCATTGACTTCATTGCAAAAACTCCAGTCAATAGCCATCCTATGTGAACACTTATCTCCGCATGCCACCCTATCACATGTGAGTCTGGAATGATGGCACTCAAAACACAATGCGTGTGGATCACATCTCCGTGAATCACATAATATCTAGCCTGTCATGTGAATCTGTAAGTTTGAGAATGCATCCAGAATCGCATATGTGTGAACCAGGGCAGCTCCATTCACACCTGGGTGTTTTGGGATTGCAGCAGAATCACTGAAAACACAGGTTCAGGTGCCATTATTAGCAATGGTGCCTAAAACATGAGAGGATTTGTTGTGATTGGTGCAGGGCAAATCACGTGAAGCTTGTCGCCTAAAAGTTGCCTTGCCCCGAGTGCTGACAACCCATGCTAAGCTAAAAAAAAAAACAAAAAATTGACTCCCAATTTTTTAGCTGGCTCCTAGATTCAATGCAAATTTGTCAAACCCTGACTTAAAGGATAAGTTCACCTTTCATAACATGTTACACCCATATTCAGGGCCCATGTTCCCTCACTGACAGCTCGCACTGGAACTTTCAAATTTTTTTTACCTGCAAAAAAAACCCAGAATTTTGAGGAGACATCAGCAATGACCGCCTCCATGCTTCTCTTATGACAGCTTACCTGGAGGGCCTATTCACATGCGTTTTAGGGCATGAATACAGGTTAGCTATTGATTTTGTTGCAGCTAGTGCTGCCATGAACTGACATGCAGAATTTTTTATGCACAGACTGTGCACACGGTTGAAACAATGAGGATACAGATTACGCACTCACCAGATGCGCAACCTTTACTTTTATGATAAATAAAGCTTCCAAGACATCAAGGTACAGGTCACTATTGGTCAGGCCACCACGTTTCCCCGCTTTGCACTCCCTTCTCATTATTTGAACTAAATGTAGCTGGCAGCAGGAGCTCATAAGTCTAAGAGGAGGCCATAGATGCAATATGTCTTCGGATATTTTTTCCCAGCACACAAAAAAAAATTAAGTAAATCAGCCGATTTTTCGCACCGTGTGCACAGTCTGTGTCGTTTGGAAATATAGATCGGTTGAGATCTTGTTCACATCTTCACGTTGGACTTATTTGATATAGCAATTTTTTTAATTGGTAAAGTTGGCATATAAAGTCATATCCGATTTTCGCGGATTTTGTGCATGTGTATTACATCGTTCATTTATCTGTTTTAGCGCTGCACCTTTTTGTATATTACAAATAGATACATTGTTTGCAACTCCAGTCCGCTATTATAATTTGACATGATGTCA